GTATATATGTCAATCCCAATCTCCCAATCCATTGGCTGTTCTAATGAGCGAGGACACAGGTCATGTTCCTCAGGGAATGATCCAAGCACATGCTCATTACCTCCCAAATCTGTGTACACAGGAGTTGCACAAAGCAATATTCAGAAGGGAGTTGATGCTCCAGCAGGAAGCCAGCCCTAGGCACAGAGACCAGCTCTTGTAATTTACCATGAGCTGTGGGAGGATGGGAATGGGAACTCTGAGAACAAGGGGAAGATGTGAGATAATTTACTCAATTTGTTTTCCTGGAAATGAAGACTTTATGTCAAGAATTTGTAATAAAACTAACTGAGGCACTCACACTCAGCTCCATAAAATGCTTAATCACCTTGTTGTTCTCTAACAGCATTTTTCTTTATGGGAGAATTTACCAGCTTTTTAATCTCCTTTATTTGATTAACATTAGAATCAACAATAGCAACCAGTGTTGGGTTTCAGTAAAGTGTTGTATTTGCAAACTTATTAAGGAAGATAGATTTTTTTTAAACATCTTTATTGGAGTATAATTGCTTTACAATGGTGTGTTAGTTTCTGCTTTATGACAAAGTGAATCAGCTATACATATACATATGTTCCCATATCTCTTCCCCCTTGTGTCTCCCTCCCACCCTCCCTATCCCCCCGCTCTAGGTGGTCACAAAGCACCGAGCTGATCTCCCTGTGCTATGCGGCTGCTTCCCACTAGCTGTCTATTTTACATTTGGTAGGAAGATAGATTTTTTTAGGGCCTCATCTATAACAGTCTCAAGCCTTAATTAGCAAATCATGCTTTTAAAGTTTTATGTTCTTAGGGGAAAAAAGACGGAATCTATAGTAACTTGAGGAGGGAAAGCACTACAATAAGTAGTCATCATTGTTCTAAGACATTTTTATGGAGGAAAATACATTATTACAATCTATCTTTTTCTGACTTCAGATCTCTTTTTCCTTCTTATAACATTAATTTAGAAGAACCACAAAGTTAATTCTTTTTTTTTTTAAAGGCTCATTAATGACTTTTTCCCAAGTACAGTAGTTTGAACATACTCATAAGAAGTGATCAGAACTATGGATGGGTAGAAGGTCTTTAGATTTAATCAAAAATCCTGTGAACAGAATCTTAGTCCACAGGTATTTGAGCTGAAGCAGGTCCTGCAAACACTTGCTGGACCCTGTGGATGAATGGATTCAGTGTTTTGGGGACAATGGGGCCCCAGAGACACCACATCCTACTCAGCCCCAGCCCCCATCGTCACTTGATTTTCAGAATTCTAAGCCTCAATGCTATCTTAGCCCACCTACCTTTTTCACCCTACTTCTCTTAAACACCTTTTCTCCTGCTGTTATCTATGGGGAGTTTCCAAACACACATCCAGCATCATGCAGATCTGAGGTGAAGTTTTCACTAGTCTGCATCAGTGAAGGAGAGGCAAAGAGACACATCCAGTAAGATTTTTGTTAAGGTAGTCCTATTCCAAAATTATTATGATCTTCCTTCTTTTTCTGTCTTCCTTCCTTTTCTTTCTTCCTTCCTTTTTGATGTTAAATTATCTCTGCTCGTATAAAACAGTAGTGGCAGTTATTTTTGTTTTGTTAATGATATCCTTAATTCAGAGAATAAATGTTGCTCACCCTATGTTGGTCACATATTTATATGCTCCTTTGTATATTAGTGTGTGTGTGTTCCAATTCAATAGTCTGTGAAGCTCAAATCATTTCAAAGCCACGGTGTACTTGTTTCCATCATGTTTCAAAAGATGGTGTCCTGGACTGGCAGACAACTTGGTACAATGAAAAGCACAGAAGGTTCTGGAGTCTCACAGACAGGGTCTGTGCTTGGAACTGAATCTGGTTCTTGTGGCCCCTGAGCAGGCACTAAGCTCTCTGAGCTCAAGCTTCACTTTCCATACAACGAGGGTGATAACAGCTACCTCAGAGAGTTGTCAGAAGATGAACACTTCTAACTTAATGTATAATACAGTGAATGCTGAAAGAATGTTGATTCCCTGGACTTCTGTGCCTCTTTTTGTCCCCCCCTACTCAGCACTTGGAGAAATAGATTAAAAAACACTCAGTACACAAATCAGAAAAAAAGAAAATGCAAGACTCTGACGCTAGCAAGTGTCTACAGTTAAAATAGTGAGTGAAGGAAGCATTGGCAGAGAGACTAGTTGGAAATTGCAGAGTTGGGTAGGGTTAATTCTGGAAGACTCTTTCCAGGATTGAGGTGAGTTTTGAAGCCCGTTGAGTATGAAGAAGTCTTTTTTTTAAATTGAAGTATAGTTGATTTACAATATTATATTAGTTTCAGGTGTACAACGTAGTGATTCAGATTTGTTATAGATTGTACTCCAATTAATAACTTAAGTTATTACAAAGTAATGGCTATATTTCTCTGTGCTGTATTCTTGTTGCTTATTTACTTTATGCATAGTAGTTTGTATCTCTTAATCCCCTACCCCTATCTTACACCACCCCTCCTCCCCTTTCCACCCTGGTAACCACTAATTTGTTCTCTGTTTCTGTGAGTCTCTGTTTTGTTTTATACATTTGTTTGCTTTCTTTTTTTAGATTCCACAAGCATAAAGAAATCTTACACAGGGATGGTGTATTGGACAGCAGCTAATCCTACGTTCATCAACGTGTGGGACATATCTCACTAAGGATATGAGTGATGTTTTATATGGTACAGAGGCATTAAACAATGTTTAGTCACACTGTTAGAGTTATTCCCCATCCAACTCTTTCAATTCTTCTGACTACATCAAGAAGAAAGTCTCAGTTTGTACTAGACTATCTTTAACATTTCTCTAATACTTAATAACCCATTTTAACAAAGAATTTCAGGCTTCAGTATCGCAGCCACTGAGAAGCAAGAAATATCTAAATGATTAAAAATGTTTTATTTTCATTGTCTTTATTTTTCCCATTCCCTTCTGCTTAAATTTTATTTCATTCACATTGATGATATAAAAAATTTTAAGTAGATTTAAATGTTAAAGGGAAGTAAATTTCAAGCATTAAGGTAATAATGTAGGTGGTACACAGCAAGGGCAACCAATCATAACAGTGGCCCCATAATGAGCAAACTTTAGAAAACACTGATCAGGCCCGTCTCTCTCATAAGGAAACGGATGAGTAAAATGAGATTCAGAGAAAAGAAGTTACTCTTTTCCAAGATCACATAGCTAGCTATCCTTAGGACTGAGGTTCAGTCCTTCTGTGCCACTGTTCATTTACCTAACTCTGCATCAGACAAACTCTAGTGTTAAACTGAAGATAATTGGATATAAAATAAAAACAGACTATGTGTTGAAGGTTGTTGGGAAGGGACTGCTTGAAGAGGCTGATGAGTGTTATAAGGGAGACTTAGTGAAGACAGACTTGTATAGAACCTGATGCTGGAGTGCATCAAGTCTAAGGCAATTCCCGAGGGTGTCGTGACAGCGATTCCTCTTGGAATCCAGCAGAGATGGCTTGAATCCCAACTTCTCTACTTGGCAAAAGACCAGTATACACCTCTCAGCTCATCTGTACAGATTTATAGGAATGATAATAGCTAACATTTATGGGGCACATCATCTACCAAGCCCAATGTGATGCATTATCTCACTTAACCTTCAAAAGAAGACAGAAAGCAGCTATTATTACCCTCGTAAGATAGCTGAGGACATCTACAGCTAAACCAGCAACGGAGTAGAATTCAAGCCCAAGCAATTTCAGTCCAGAGTCTGACCTTAACCACAATCCTATGCTGTGAAAATTAAACACAAACAAGGGCTGCAAAGCACCTAGCCAGGTGCCTGGCACATAGGCGGCAAAATGCCTTTCAACTCTCCCTCTCTGCCCATGCAGTAGTGCTAGTCACATCCTGCTTGGCATCCAGAACCTTCTCTGCAGGTGCCTAGCCGGGGACTACAACTCCCAGGATGCACCAGGCGGAGAAACTGGCCAATCAGGAAGCCCGGTCTCATTTCCACTGCCGGATCTCCCCACTTAGCAGCTAGAACTTTGGTGACGGCTGACGCGGTGGGTACCGACGGGGTCAGTGTTGTGGGCTGCCCAGGGTTACCAGATTTTAGATAATCTTAATCCAGTTTTGGTGTGTGGGCTGGAGGTGAAGACCGTTGACATGTCCAGGCTGCCTCAGGTTCCATCTTCAGCCGCCAAGCGGGGCGGGTCGCCAGGTCTCCTAGCCCGTGGCTAAGAGCCCGGTTTCCTCAAAGGCATCGTCATCTGTTGGGTCGAGAAGGAGCGGTTGTCAGGGCGGCTCCAGGGAGGGCTGGTGGTCAAGGCTGCTGAGCACGTTTCGCGTTGTCCTGAACAGGTTTGGGAGCCCGAGGACTGCGGAAACTTCGAGGTTGCCTCTGGCTCCATCTTCAGGCCCCAGCCTGTGGCCCCCTAAGGCGTGAGGCTCTTTACGCGTGTCACGCCGAGGAGGAGGACTTGGCCTTTAGAAGGCAAACTTAAGGGATAATAATCGCTCCTCAGGGGGAGGGCCTGGCCTCCTGGCCTCTGGCCCCGGGTTAGTGCCTAAGCTGCGTTCCTGCCTTCAGTGTGGTATCGTGGCCTCCGACCCCCTATTCCCTTGGCCCCCCGAGCCTGGTCTCCACTTCCCACCTCCTGGGGAAGCACTGTTTGACAAGCCTCTCCTTTCTCTGAGTGATATCCTGACCGAGCTCCCTGGGGAAGGCTTGACCAGCTCTGGCCTCGCTCTGGTCCACTAGGGTCCCCTTGCCACTCTGGCCTCTGACCCCACCCCACCTACGGGCACCTGAGGGCCCTGGATAACCTGACCCCAGAGTGGAGAGGGTCAACTTTCTTGGGCATTTCTCCATCCAGTTAGTTTCTACTTACCTCTTGGTTTTTACTTGTATTTTATTTTTACCTTCATATCTTTAAGGTTCTTTAATCCCGACCCTACCTCCTTTATTTTTTTTTATCGTCTTTCCTTTCTCCTCAAACCTGGGTCTTTACCCAAATAAGATAGCTGCCATTCCATTTTCAGTGCCTAGGGGCTTGTAGGTGGATGCGAAGTGTAGTTTTTTCATTGTCTGGAGATGAAAAAAATGTATTTCCTTTACAGTGGCTCTGAAGTGAGTGAAATAGGATAAATACCCCTGACTCAGGAAAAGGCAGAGGCAAGGAACTGATTTCAAGGTTAGTTTGTTTTCAGTTTTTGGACAAGCAGCCTCACGCGTAACTGCCCACCTTCTGGAGCTGTGTGCACGAATTGTGGTTTATTCAAGTTATTTCGAGATATTTGAATGGCTAAGGTTAGTTTCTAGTGAATCACCTAGAAACATCTCTCTATATTTATATCTGACACAATTGGCTAAATATATGTACTTTATATATAACATAGTAACACGTTGATTTACACATTTCAGCTAAATTAAAATGTGTGTTGCCCTAACTCCCAAAGCTAAAAAAGAAGTGACCATGTTGCCATCTTTGTAGTCAAGGAATTATAATCAAATCTTATTTTAAGCTTTACTATGTACTTAAAGAAACCATGTACGGACCCTGTCATTCAAGCATAAGCTAGAAAAAGATGCTGACTTACATAAACAAAATTAGAGAAGATCTTATATGAGATTGCTAAATGGTAAGGTAGTTTATAAGTGCTGAGGCTTTCTGAAATGGGGACATCTGCATTTCCATTGTAAGGGCCCCATCTTGTGGATATGGTTTGATTAAAGAAGACACCTCATCCTAAGAATTCCAGTTACAGGTGTTTTCAGTTGGAAAAGTATTAAGTTGATTCTTTCGTATGTTAGAATTCTAGCCATTATAGTCTCTCTAAAGAGACTATAATTTCACAAATATTTTAGTTCTGAAATAACAGATTTTTCCTTTCAGAAATGCTGAAAATTTAAGTATTTTTAAAGTATACACAAATACTCCTGATTTATACATTGTTTTCGTTTCTCTTTTAAAATCAGATGTCTGACAATAATGTTACCAACCATAAGCTAAATGTGGAAGCCATAATTAAAAATATTAACACAATTTCTTTGGAGTTGAAGAAAATGAAAGGTAAGTATGGATTAAATTAAACATGAATTAAAATGTTTGCATATCATTGTTATAAAATAAATAGTAGAGTCAATTTGTGCTTCTGCTGGGGCAAAACTGAATTTTGCCAACTAATTAGGATTTTTCTATTTCTTAAGAAATGCTTACACTGTAATATGAACTAGATCTCTGAAGATGCATTATGTTTGAGCATTGACCTGGACGTTAGCAGACTTGAATTTTCATCCCTGAATCCCTTAATCATTACTAAGCCCCTAAAGTTCCCTCCAAGTCAAAACTTGTAAGTTTGCTTGATTGTGTGAATTAATGGTTCTAGTAGGATTAGATCTTATAGGTTATGATGTTTAGTCACTCACCTTAGAGACATATTCTGTAATTTTATCCCAGGCATGTAAAATTTCCGTGATTGAATATTTCACCTATTCTTGACCAAACATTTCCTATGTTGGGAAACTCTCTATATCACCAGTCAATCTATTTCATCTTAGACAATTCCTCTTCATGGACTAGCTGAAATCTTTTTCCCTATTTCTTTCATCCATTGGTCCTATTTCTAACCATGAAAACCACTGAATATGTAGTGGTTATTCTTATGAAAACCTTTGGTATTTGAAGACAGTCTCTGTGTCAGTTATGAGACCTTCCTACAAGTAACAAAATACCAATTTAACATGGCTTATACAATATGGAAGATAATAAGAAGATTCCAAGGTTGGGCAGCCCTAAAGCTAACTCAGAGTTTTAAAGACTTCATCAGGTACTAGGTTCTTTCCATATTTCTGCTCTGTTATGTTCACTCTGTTTGTCACTTCTCATGGTCATTACCTGCAGACATGACCGTATACAGACACTGTCTCTGCCTGTGTCTCTCTTTTTTTTTTTTTTTTTTTTTTTTGTGGGTACGCGGGCCTCTCACTGTTGTGGCCTCTCCCGTTGCGGAGCACAGGCTCCGGAGGCGCAGGCTCAGCGGCCACGGCTCACGGGCCCAGCCGCTCCGCGGCACGCGGGATCCTCCTGGACCGGGGCACGAACCCGTGTCCCCTGCATCGGCAGGTGGACTCTCAACCTCTGCGCCACCAGGGAAGCCCTGCCTGTGTCTCTTATATAAGCCTTTCTCCAGATCCCTCCGGCGCATTTCCCCTTTCCTTTCATTGGCCAGATTTGTGCCACATGTGTATCCTACAGCAGCCACCACCAAGGGGAACAGACCAATTTGGACCAGTCAGGACTTACTGCTGGTGCTGGGGAAAGAATCACCTCGAGTGCAATCAAGTTGTGCCCCCAGGAAGAAGAGGGGAGTGGCTGTTACTTAGGCACCGAATAGTGGGTGCCTGTTATGCTTTTCCTATGTGTTCTCCCAAGCATTTCCCAGACTTTGATCTGGGAACACTGCTGTCTCAGAAGATGTTAGTAGATGGTGTGCAATAAAAACGGAGTCCATCAACTGATGATCAGATAAGTTTGGGAAGGGCTTTATGCTATATAATTCTCTCACAAATTCACAGTACATATTAAGAGAGGCTGTGAGGAGTCTGATATAAAGGAATCGGGTTAGCTCTGCTTAATTCACCATCTCTCAAAACCAATCTAAACACTACGGCGAGGATTAGGTTTCTAAAATGTAAATCTGCTGAAAATGCTCGTTGGCTCACCATTGTCCTCAGGATAAAGTCCAGACCTCCTAGAATGGACTGTAAGACCTTGAGATCAGGCCCTGCCTACCTCTCCAGTCTGTTACCTCATTCTTTATTCCCTGCACGTTCTGTGTTCCAGTCACATTGAACTATCTGCATATCTACATAATCTCTTTTGTGCCTGTGCCTTAACACCTCCTCCTGCAATGCCTACTGTTGCACCCCTACCTCTACCGCACCAGGTTAACTACTTATTAGTCAAGGTTGCTTACAGTGGAAAACTTTTTTTTAAGTCAGTATATCATCTCTTCTACATTTTCATATTACCTATCACACTGTATTGTAATTGAATGTCTACTTACTTTTCTTATCCCTGCTCATCTGTAAGCTCCTTAAGGGTATTCCTAGCACTTAACACAGTGCCTTTATATAATAGGCTCTTGAAAAACATTGATTAAATGAATAATTGGTTCCAGATGCTTGCACTCATGTAAAACAATTACAGAAGCTTTAGATTCTTCTCAGACTTTATTATCTAACTGTTCTGGTTTGGGAATTATTCTTTCATGAAGTAAAATAAAATAAATATGATCAATATGTTTTTGAAAAGTTGTGGGGTAGGGCAGGCAGTGAAGATACAAGACTTGTAGAGCTAGACTAGGAAGGTAGACTTCTGGTAAACAGGGAAGATTAAACGAACACTGTTATCCCCACTTTCTCCCAAAAGTAATAATATCAATAGCTAACACTTATAGCATTTACCATAATCCAGATACTCTTCCAAGAGCTCTACATAAATGGACTCAATCGTCATAACCTTATGAGGTAGGAAATAATACCATTGGCATTTACAGATACAGAAACAGATATAGAGAGTTTAACTAACTTTCCCAGAGTTACACAACTAGTCACTGGTAGACCTGAGATTTAAATTTAAAGTCCTACAAGTTGAGGGAAAGAGTAGTACTAAAAACAAGGGTCTTAAGACAAAGTTTACATATTGAGTTACAAGACCCACAGTGGGGAAACCCACTTGGCTACAAGACATTGGCAGCCAGATTTATACCCTCAAGCAGATTTTTCTTTCAGGAATCAGACCAGCCTAAGAGAAAAGACCTAAAGATACTGATAGCAGAGGTTCCTCCAACAAAACACCCAACCAGATCACCCCACAATATAGACCACCATGGGCAAAGAACTTCCAATTGTCTTTTTAGTACCATAGTCTTAAATACGAGCAGACAAGTATGGAAAACAGATATTTGAGGAAAGCATCTAATGGAAGGAAAAGCAGAGACAAAACCAATAAATAGATTCAATCAACGGGGAAGAAACAGATTAAACTCCAAGAAACTACATTAATATCCACAGAGAAGTAGGAGAAGATGCTATGTTCATGAAAAAGGAACAGGATACTATAAAAAATATTTAGAGAACAAAGTTAAAAGTGTGGCATAGAAATAAACTCTGGAGAAGGGTTTAAAGATAAAATGAAGAAAATTCTAGTGTAGAGCAAAAACACAGACAAGGAAGTCCAACATCCAATAAATAGGATTTCTAGAAAGAAAGAACATAGACAATGGATGGGGAGGAAGTCATTAAAGAAATAATCCGAGAAAAATTTCCAGAGCTGAAGGATATGATTTTTTACAGTGAAAGAGCCCATCACAGTAGATTGAAAATAGACCCATACTAAAAAAACAATAGTACAAAATTTCAGAACACTGGAAGAAAAAAAGATTCTTAAATCTTCTAAAGAGAAACAATGATTAAGAATTGGAATTGTATGAAATTTCTCCATAGAAACACTGGAAGCTAAAAGAAAATGCAGCAATGCCTTTGGAAATCTGAAGAAACATGATGTCCAACCTAGATTTCTGTAGCCAGTCAATTAAGCACTGGTGTAGAGAGAGAAATTTTCAGACATAAATTTCCCCACCTCAGGAAGTTACCTAGGTTGCATTCCACCAAACAAAGGAGTAGACCAAAAAAAGAGAGACCTGAGATTCTGGAAAAAAGATATTCCACATAAGGGAGGGGTGAAAGGAGACCCTAGGATAATGGTGAAGGGAGTTCCCAAGATGTGAGCTGTACAGCAGTCCTAGAGAGCTGTCAGTCCAGACTAGAGCTGATCAGACAGCTCTAGGAGAGGGGAGGCTTTCAACAATAGAATAGTCAAGGCACTTGACTATACTGAGAGGAGATTTACCCAACTGCAGAAATTTGATAATTAAGCAATGAAAAAAGGAAACAATTATTAACTGTGGTTAAGTGGTAGCTTGCAGGAAGGGAAACATGTAAGACTCAGCTGTAAAGATTATATAATCAAGAAAAATTTAAACATTAAATATTGAGCTAAGAAAAATTGTCCCTCAAGTACAGTGGGGGAATGGGTATAAGTGAAAAGAGCTATATCTTAATCTTCTGTGATCAGAAGCAAATAGATAATACCTAAAATTGAAAAAGAAATATGCATGCCATTTAGAGATATGGAGGTTAAATACCACCCCTCCCAAAACAAACAAACAAACAAAAAAACACAGAAGAGAACCACAAAAGCGACAAAAACAAAATGGGCTCCAAAAAAGTTAAAAGTGGTTGCCTCTGGGAGAATAGGAGCTGCTATTTTTTGCAACATGCCTTATTTGATTCTTTATACTATGTGCATGTATAACAGATAAAAATAGTAATTTTAAAAATACATAAATTTGCATAAATCAAATTGCAATTTAGTTAAGATAACTGACAATTTGAGCTAAAGAGCCCTTCTAGTAAGTTTCTATATCATGCTTATTTTGTAGTATATAAATTTGACTCTAAGTCAAAATTGGGCACATCTAAATTGCGGTTTGAGCAATAATCACTTAAAAGAAAGCTAAATTAAGAATTAGGAAGAAGCTCCTTAAAGTAATAATAGTTGCCCATGACATATGTGCTACAATATAATGTCTTCTATTATTTTGTTTTACACAGAGCTCTCCCAGTTACTGCTTTGTGACCTTACCCTATGTTTTAGTCATCCTGTGAAGACGGATGATTTAAAGGAAACAGAAAGAAACAACCCCCTCTTTGAAGAGTCTAAAATGTCAGATGTATCTCTTGCTTCTAACAGTTTTTTAATCTGATATTTTATTTATTTGTTGTGAATTTATAACTTTTTATTGTTGAATTAACACATACCTAGGAGAATTGAGTTTACTAATATATTTAATATAATAAAAAACAAAATAAAAATACGTTGAGTTGTAAAGAATCATTTCCTGCTCTTGAAGACTGTTATTTTCTTGTTTTAATGTTTCAAGGAATGGCTAATTTATTTCATTAATGGCAAGAGTATGACATAGGAAATTGGCCATGAGGCACTGCTTATCCTTTACCCTATGCCTGAATTTGGCTTAGGTTGAAAGAGAGTTACTAAATTCTAAATGTATGGTATGACTTTATATTAATCAGATCTCTCCTGGTAGCAAGTGCCAAAAGCAACTCAAGCTGGCTGAAGCATTTATTGGGTCATGTGACTTGGAAGTCCATGGTTGGGATAGATTTCAGGGCTTCCACTAATTCATCAGATGTCTCTATCCTGGTTCTGTTTCTGTACTTGGCCTCATCCTCTCCTATTGAAAGCTGATTTCCTCCATATGCCAGGTAGAAGGGGGTAGAGGTATGGTAGACAACTCCAGGTGTACCGCAGTATCTTTTGGGGATCCCAGAGGAAAGAGATCTTCTCTGTCTCAGTGTTTAACATTCCAGAGAAAGATCCTGATTGGCCCAGCTTTGATTAAGATGGGTCCTGAGCAAATGTGTTTGGTGAGGCTCATATCATATGCCAGGGTCTGTAGCAAAGGAGAGACCCCACCAAAAGAACAGAGTTGCCATGGCCTGAAGAAGGGGAGAAAGAATGCTAGTCATAAAAACATCAGATACCACTCATTTCAGTCACTGAAGTGGAATAGGCTTTAGTTTTAGGATACCTTTATTCTAAAACTTCCTAATTTCTGTCCCTTTCCACCAACGAAAACTTAAAATAATAAGCGTTTACCTTGTAAACATAATTCACTACTATATAGTTGCTTTGAATTCTACCATGTCCTTCATTTTAGATAATTTTGAACATAAAGTATAGAATACCATGAAGCAAGACACAAGGTCAGCAGAACTTGTAGCGTTTTCTATCCTCGTTACCCAGCACCTAGCTCAGTGCACAGAATAGGCATGACATAAACACTTGTTGAATATCCTATTGAATAAACAGGTAAATGAATGCAAGATTTTCAGCTCTAGAATTCCTGAGTTCTGGACCCTAATTTGAGAATTTCCAGTTTCTAAGGATGAAGTTTTGTGAAGCATCCTTTTTATCATCATTGATTAAAAGTCTCCACATGCTCATTATCTTAGCAAATCGTGCCAGTGGTCTTTCTATTAGCTCATGAAAGTGAAGACGCAAGATATTCTTTGTGACTCAGAAAACTCCTAGGTTAAACAGAGAAGCCAAATATTTTTGTTAATAAAAGTTTTGGGGACTTCCCTGGTGGCGCAGTGGTTAAGAATCCACCTGCCAACGCAGAGGACACGGGTTCAAGCCCTGGTCCGGGAAGATCCCACATGCCGCGGAGCAACTAAGCCAGTGCGCCATAACTACTGAGCCTGTGCTCTAGAGCCTGCGGGCCACAACTACTGAGCCCGCGTGCCACAACTACTGAAGCCTGTGTGACACAACTACTGAAGCCCGCATGCCTAGAGCCCATGCTTCACAACAAGCGAAGCCACTGCAATGAGAAGCCCGCACACCGCAACAAAGAGAAGCCCCCACTCACCGCAACTAGAGGAAGCCCGTGCGCGGCAACTTAGACCCAACACAGCCAAAAATAAGTAAATAAATAAATTATTTTTCAAAAAAGTTTTGGAATAACAACGAAGGCCTCAAAGGGGAAAACTTAACTAAATGCGAGGTTTTCATTTTGTGAAATGCCTACTACTTTTTGTTAAATGAGATATGTAGGTTGAAGGAAAGAAGTGAATTGCTTTGAAGAATTTATAAAGCCTTTTGGGGAAGGGTGAAGAGAGGGCTTTATGACAGTTGTCAGGGGGATAAAAATAGAAAAAAAGTATCTAATTGGAAAGTCTGATCAAATTTTTCCATGTATATATACATTGCTTTTTCATCTTCCCAGGAAGACTTTGGTAAAAATCTACATCACTTGATGATGCTTTTGGAGTTGGGTAGGGGTGGAGGAGGTAGGGTGTGGGTGTCGGTTGTGATGAAATTAAATCCAGGTGTATATGACACCAAAGCCTCATCTCTAAATTTAAAATGTTTTCTTTTGGTGTTTGTCGCTTAAATTTGCTTTAAAACAGAAAAATAATAGTGTGAATGAAATAAAGTCAACAAAGTTGTTTTAGGAACCGAAAAGTGAAGCAAAAGGCAAATTAATTTTAATTCCAAGAAGTTATCCCAACTGCATTTATCTTCTTCATTAAAAAAGTATACAAAAATCCCCCCAGCAAAAACACCAAATAAGTATGAAACACTTTTGAAGCCTCTTAAATTATTGCTCTTGAGAAATTAAATTTTAGTAATTTTCAAATTATACATATAAAACTGATGATTGCTTTGAATGGTAAAGGATTGGCTATTTAAAAAATCAGTTTTACGTGTTACCAAAAACTATTACCATTTCAGTGTTTTGAAACTTACCCCAAATTGTTTCTGTAGGTATGTAAACCACTGTACGTGGAAATGGGTGTTCAAATACACATCTTTTTAAAATGAATTATTACAGTGCACTACTAGACTTCAAGTGTGAACATTATTACTCATGCACTTTGCAAATATTGAAGAATAAATTATGGGATCTTTGACAGTCTTCATTTCAAACACTTTCTTAAGGGAAAGGACAAAACCTTTGTGTTCGTGTCGAGGGGTTCAAATCATCCCTGAGTGTTTGACGGTTCACCAAGGTTGATTGATCTTCCCAGGCTGGGACAGAGGCAGGAGGAAGGTTCATTTGCTTGGCTAACTTGCTAGGGATAACCTGCAGAATACGTTAATGTGCACTGGTATCTGGAACCTCGGTTCTTCCCATCAATGAGCAGAAGTGGCATTTTCCTGAAGTAGTCGATAATATCTGACACAGACAGAAAGTCCTGAAAGATTCAAAATAGGGAGATAAATCAACATTGGAATAGGTAGTGTGAATTTCATTCTCAGTTTTTTTTATCTGCATAATATCCTACCTCTTGAAGTATGAGGATTATGGGAAAAAACCATGTAAAATTTGGCAAATATTTTAATGATTTCTGCTATAGAACATTGAAAAAATAATTCCTCACCAATATCTAGCAAACCTTGGATAAAAGACAAATATGTATTTAGGTATATATATTTTTAACCTCATATAGGAAATTATATATACTATAGAGATAGAGAGAGGGAGAGAGGGAGACAGGGAGAGTCTAATTATGATAGCCTTACCTTAGGATCATTCTATCTGTGGTTTGGTTTTGGTTTTTGTATCCCTACTTTACTCTAAATCACGAACAACGTTAGGAGGTATAAGGAATCAGGAAGTCAGACAGCATTGCTGGTGTCTGAAGATGCATAATAGTTCCTTTGTGATCTCTGCCGTGTCCCCACTGCCACCTCCACACTCACTTGGTCTGTAGCAAGTCTTTGCATTCATTACCTGGATCACCCTATCCCTGATGGTCAGACTGGGAAACCCCCATCCATCCATCTAGATATGGGTCAGAGGTCACTTGGTACCCCAGACAGAGTTATGCACTTCCTCCAAGACTACACTGCTAGGTGCCTCCCTCCAGGGCAACTGCAATGAGTGGTTTGTATTTGTGTGTTTCCACACTAGACCAATAGAATTCCTGGAGGGCAGACATCTGTGCTTCTATAGGACCTATGCAGCTCTACCCATGCTGAACCAGTGATTCAAACATGTGACCAAAATCATGTGGGGTTTTTTTTACTACTGGTTTACATTACCATAACTTAAAAATATTTGGAGTGAAGTGGAAGTTATGGGTATGTTGTTTCTCATTCTGGCAATGTTTGATTCAGCTGATCCTCCTCCTGGAAATTTGAACTTAAAGAACATGTTTGGGACATTCAGTTTAACTATAGTTTCCTTTGCAAAAAGCAGCCGGGAAAGGTTTCCTTCACACCAGTTGTGATAACTACCCCAAAAGCGACTAGCATAAACCTTGGAAAAATAGAGGAAAATGTCTTTGGCAATCTGGCCACGTTCATTGGCCTTACTTCCATTTTTCGTAAGCAGTGACCCAAGTCATTTTTCCAGATGTCCATTTAAGACACAGCCCTATAAATACACTGTAATCTTACATTAAAATTATTAAGTCACAGGGGTGACTTAATTCACCTCTATGTCACAGAAGGGACTTGCCTTTGGCACCATCTAACTGGATTTTTAAAAATTTAAATGCTAACATACATATATTTTTTAAGTTACACATGTGATTTTAGACTATTTGGAATAAAAGATATAAGTAGCAGAGGTAGATACTGTTAGCATTTTATTTCCTTCCAGTAAATGAAGGGCTTCACCAATGTGACTTAACTCTAAAGTTGTCAGGCAGTATGGATCCCAAAAGAATGCTACAGCAAGGTTCCATGTAGGTAGGTATGCAGAGAAGCATAAATAGAGAACTGGGGGAAATTTTACAACTAGAAGTCCTTACCTCTTTCCCTCGGAGTCCAGTTCCCAACAAGTAAACTTGGCTTTCCTCCTGATAACGGATCTGAATGTTGTAAACTTTCTCTTTGTACAAAACCATGAGGACGTATGGATTGGTTATTGTTTTTCTAGAGCTGTCTCTAACCAGGAAAGTGCCATCCTAAAAGGATAAATTCTTGTTATTATGGGAGCAGCAAAAGTCAATACTCCTGTTGCCCGTGAGAGCAGTAGACAAGCCTCTAGGGATCTGGGAACCTACCAGTTGACAATTCAGTGAACATTTAGTTCCCCAAACAGCTGCAGTCCCATGTGGCATGGATTTCTTGGTTGTCAAGAAAGAGGCAGCAGAGATTATGTTAGAGAAATTTCCAAATTTCAAAGAGACCTCTTTGAAGTCTCTTGATGAAAAAGGAATCTCTTTTTCAGTAATAAAACAAATGACAGATGGTTGAGTGGATAAAGGGCCAGCGAAATAAGGACTTTATTGGTTAACTAAAGATATATCTTCCTACTGCTGAGAGCTATTTCCCTAACTCTTTCCTTCCACAAAGTCAGAAAACACCCAAATTCCTAAGAAATTTACCCATTTTAAAACCTCATGGTATCCAGGAACAGTGTTTCATCATCAAACACCTGAACAAAATCCAGTGTGGACCATCTGTGTTCTTATCTCCCTTTTTCTTCTGATATTTACCAAAATAGTATTGTGATTTGTCCTGTACTTTAAAATTTCATTCCATAAATTATCTACATAATATTAACACTATAAAGACCTAATATTAAAATACAATGAATTAGGAAGGACTCATTTAAATTACTCCCTCCTCTGTATATTGAATCAGGATGGTTCTAAATAGCCATCCATCTGCAATAATGGCTTTCCTTTGTTCTTTTATTCCAGGTTGATTGAGTAAATTCTAGTGGGAACATCTCTGTTGAACAAATATACGTGTGGACCAGCGATTCATAGCCCTGGCTTCACTTTAGAATTTCAAGTTTTGGAGACTTCCAGAGCCCACACAGCACCCCTGACTAATTAAATCAGAATCTCTCCAAG